TGGCTGAAATTGAAATAGTACCGTGCTCTTCCGTGCTTTCGTCTTCTGCTTTCTTGGAGATAAATTAAGTGTTCCCAGGGCTTGGAAATTATTTATAAAATAATTAATTTGTTTTAGAAGCCACATGGAGCTTGGAGTTATAGTGTAGTGGACATGGACCTCCCCGCTCCTCCCCTCTGCTGAAAGAGATCCAGTTTGTGTAGGGGGCAGAATATTCTGTGAGCACTGTAGAGAGCAGGCCTGGTGTCCAAATTTAAAATAAGTTCATATAAACCCTCTTCTTCTGTTGAGCCACCTTGGCTGTCAGGGAAAGGACATGTTCTTTTTAGCTCATCTGGATCCTGCTCTCACCCCACCTCAGAGCTGGCTCTCATTTCTCCTCTTGTCATCCCTTCATGAATATCTTTGGGGCAAACTACGAAGGATTTTAACCTCTGAGCAGTTCTTCCTACACAGCCTTCCAAAAACAGTGCCTCACTGGAGACCTGGAGGCACTTCAGGCTGTACACGTGGTGACTTCATCCTTGGAAGATGTGGGAATCCTCGGAGCTGTGTGCTGGGTTTGGGGTGGAATCTCAGGTTCCTTGCCCTCAGGTAGAGCACCCTGAGCAAGGGCTGTGCTGGTGGGAGCTGATCCAGACGAGCCCCCACTGCTCTGAGAGGCTGCATCTTCCTCCCTGCTCCCTCTCCTCTGCCAGGAGCTGAGCTGGGAGAGGGGACAGATCAGTCTTGGCTCCAGAAGCTGTGAAATCGGGGGGTTTTCACACCCTCATGGGAACAGCAGTTTTATGACAAAGAATCTTCTTTGCAGAGGCAACCTGAGCTCCCAGAATGGTGATCTTGAGAGGATTTAGAAACACAATTAACTGAAACTTGAAAAATGCAAAACACTAGGAGGAAAGTCTGCCTTTTAGACTAGACCTGCAGAAAAGGAGAAAAACCAACACAGGATAAAAGCCAAAACTGGTGATCATGCTTCTGCTGAAGGCTCTGAGCAGAGCCTGAGCTCTGAGCTTGTCCTGAGCTCCTTGTTGGGGCAAATCATTGTAAAAAGCTGGTTTTACCAGGTTGTTTTTCTCCATGGCAGCAGTGGGGTCACAGGCCCCCAAAGGTTATTTCCTGCTCCACAGCCACCCATTGTTCTTGAGGAGTGCCAACCCCAAACAACGTTGGACCCCCGTGCCTTGTTTACCTAACACCCATTTGTGCTTTATTTTTCTTCTCCTGGTACTTGGTGTCTGTTCAGGCTCTCACAAATAAAATAGGAAATGGTAAAATCCAAAGAAGCAGAGGGCAGAGCAGCACAGGGAAAAGATTGATGCTGGTTTGGGGACAGAGGTGACACCTACAAGAGTCTCTGAAACCTGAAAACTTCAGTTTTTATGTATTTCAGCTTTGCATATAATTAGCTTAGAATCACTTCATTGTTTTTTCCATGTCTAAAACAGAGCAGGAAGCTGCAGAGAACTGAGATCTGTGGGGAGATTTATGAAGGAAGGGCCCGCAGAGCTTTCAGATGCTGTTTATAAATGTCAGCCCTATCCAAAGCCACAGTGGGCTCACACAGGAACCCAGGAGCAGAGAGGTCTTGTCCTGAAGCATGACAAAGCGATTATTGATCTCCCTGACAGGGACAGCAGCACTGAAAAAGCACGAGGGACAGCAGAGAGAGGGGTGGAACGTGCCACGGAGCAGGAAGGAGAGGCCAAGGACAGGTTAGCAGAGGAGTGGGCTTCAATCCAAATACCCCAGATGCAAAATCCCTCAGTTTTGGTAAACTTGGATTAGCATGTAAGAACAAACAGAAGAACACAGCTGGCCTTGCAGCTCTATCATTGATTAAACAATATCTGCGGAGCTTTGAAGTCTGGAGAAGTTTGGGGAGCTCAGCCTCGCAGTTTATCTGCCAGGGTTGAAGTATTCCATCCTGGTTTTCTGTTTTAGCACCTCTGCAAAGGGGCTTTCTAATGAGCTAAATATATAGAAAGGTGTAGGGAGAAACTTGGGATTCGTGCATGGAAAAGATCTATTTAGAGCAGCCCTGGAGGAGCTGCACTGGAGGCAGTTTTTAGATGCTGTGTCCAGCCCCGATCCTGCCCTGCTCCCTGGGCAGCTTTCCTCTTGGCATTGCTTCCATCTTCCTACTCAGCATGTTAAGAGAGAATCTCTTCTGACTAGAAAACCACCTTCCCAAGCCTGTGTACAAACACAGGGGTTTTTCACTACTGGGTGGAGGGAGATGGACAAAAAATTTTGAGGCTGTTAAAGGATGTGTGGATATTTACAATTACAGTTCAGAGATGTGGGGGAAGAGATGAGAACTAGAGGGCAGAAGGGAGGTGCAGAAAACAGGAGTTTTGTTTGTGGTTCTTCCACTATTTCTCATGGTTGAATTCTCTCTCCCCTTAAAAATTGAGAGCAAGACTATTTCCATTCAATGTTTTTAAATGAGCATATGGGAGGCAATAAGTGTGAACTGTTATTATATCTGGAAAAAAATTGTGGGTGTTTATGAATGCCCCAAGGCTGGGATCCATCCCAGATGGGATTCAGCACCTGAGAAAAAGAGCTTGAATTGATTTATCTCCTCCACCAACTTCAGGAGACTTACAGGAACTGTGTCCATAGTTTGCTCACCAGTTCTGTGCCTCAAACAAGCCAGGCAAAAAAAAAAGTTCTATTTTCTTGTCTGTCAGCAGTGGGTATTTCTTTTTTAGATAAGTTAATGTGTAATTCCAGTGTCCAAAACACCAGCTTCCTCCAGTCCCCAAATTATCTCCTGCTTTTGGAGCACCTGGATGCAGCACAGGAGAGGGGATCACAAAGTTCTGGTTAAAATTTGGGGCAGTTATGTGTCAGAGCAATTCTAACAGGAATATCTTCAGTCTTGGAGATGCTGTTCTGCAGTGGGCACTGAAATCTTTATGGCTCACCTGAACAGGATGTTTAATGCAGCTGGATACCCCTGGTGACTCTGTGCAGATGCTGCATAGAGACATCTTCTTTATCAGTTCAAAAAAATAAGTTAAAAAGGACTTCTCTTAAGCCAGTGCTTTTAGAAGCAGTCTGAAACAGTTCCAACATGCAAAGAGTTCTGTTTTTTTTAAATGGAAATAATAACTCACCTGCACATAAGTATTTGGGGTCTGTGTTTGCTTCAGGTGGACTGACAGAGTGAGCTTTGTACCCAAGTTCATGGAAAATGGCTTATTTTGACTGAGGAGTTCAGCAAAAGCCCTTCATTTCTGTAACCACTGGTCTCAGTATTTCAGCTCTCCCCTTTCTCCAGGGCAGGCTGCAGGAAATTTTGGGATAGCAAGCCAATCCCTTATTAGAGAGGGGCTGAGTCCCACAGAATTGGAGCTCATTTCTCATGTCCTGGTGTCTGTTCCCAGACTGATTTTCATCATGCCTGATTTTATTTCCAAATCTTTCTTCATTTGTGTTCTCCTTGGCATTCCTTATTCACCCTCAGGTATCATTTCCTCAGTTTGCAGAAGGTCTCCCACCGCTTTTCCAGCAGCTCTCTGCTCCTTCAAATCCCTCCTTAAAACTAACATCTTCCAGGAAATTCATCCTCCTCCACTGTCACTTATAATCTCTCCTACTTCCTCCTTTATCATTTCTCCTCTGTCCTGTTCTCTGTTTTCCTGTCAAGTTTTTTGTGAGTGTGTCTCTTCAGATTGTTCCTTATCACATATATATATATTTTAAATACATGCTGTGAAATACTATCCATATAATGCATAAAAAAAGAGAATATTTTGCCTTTATAAATACTCACCAGTAAATCTCTGGTGCTTTAGGCCATCCTAATTCAAAGGGTAGAAGTAAAATACCAGTTCCTGCATAGCAGTGGGGTCTTACAGCTACATAACAGTAAATATTATTAAAAAAGCAGCCCCTAGTGTTTAGGAAATTAGGTGAAGTAGAATCAAATCTCATTTGATTCTGTAATTTTCAGCTATGGACATGTTTAACTGACAAGCCAAGTCTGTTTTTGGGGTTGGAAACATGTTATATCTGACTGTAGCTGTATTTTTTATTTGTTCATATATGCACAGTGTGTGCATGTGCTGTGCATTAAAATACAAAAGTAACGTCATCAGATTTTTATTTTGCCTGAGTGTGCCATGAAGCAAGAACTCTCTCGTGTTGGACTACAGTAAAAGTGGTAATAAAAGCCTGGATTTCAGGCCTGTAGCTAAATGCTTGGTTACACGTAAACACACACACGTAGCTGAGAGCAAAGCAGAGATACGTGGGAGATAAAAGAGAACAAATGGGTAACTTCTAATTACACGGATTTTAGCTCATCTGGTATCCAGATGATCATCCTCGCTTCTGATGGGTTTGACAAATCAGTTTATTAGGACTGTAAGTGTAACCCAAGGCTGTGCAGTAGGCAAGGGAACGTTGGGGGTTTTTTTTCAATTTTTTTTTTTTTTTTCATATTATATTCAGTCATTTCATTATTAGAGGTAAATACTGCTTGTACTTAGAAACACAACAGCTGGTCTCATGTGAGAAGGCAATCCACAGATTAACTTGCCAAATGTATTACCAGTTCATTTCACTAGACTGAGAACCTAAGGGTATTTTAATAGTTTTGACCTTGATCAGACAAGAAAACAAATGCCCTCATTCTCAAGTTGAACCTGTGACTTAAACACTGCTCTGCTCTGCCGCAGCGTGAAGCGTGCCCAGCAGCCCTGGCAGGCTGAGAACAGAGTGGTTTGTGAAAGAGAAGGGGAAAATTCCAGCTCAGTGCTGGAAGTGGTGCTGGTGATGCTCAGGAGAGGAGGGGTCTGAGCCCCTTGCTGGGCTCAGAGCTGTTTGCAGAGCAGCCACGCGCGCGTTGTTCTCTGCAAATCGGCTCTCAGGTGAGGAGGGGTGTTTAGTCAGGTGTTTACATGTCTGATTTGGCTTTAATGTGGATTTTTACATTAAAGAAAATCAATTTTATTCGAAGTGAAAGGCCAGATGTGTGTGGCCTCTTCACTGGACCCCAGAGTTCCCGTCCTGCGGATTGCAGACCGTGGCTGATTTCACACACCTCTGATGTGTCACAGAGAGCAGCCCAGGGACAGGTGTGTGCCCAGCACTGGGGAAGGGCCTCTCCTGGGAATTAAATTGCAGCAGATCTTCCAAAGAGAGACTGGTTTTTAAAGGACTTTTCCCTGTTCCATGGGTGTCTTCTCCAGGGAAGGCAGGGGGCTGGAGCCTGCACCCTGAAAAGGCTTTTCTGTCTCTCTCGGGCATTGCTCTCCCTGAGCAGCCTCTCCTGATGGATTGCTCTGTTCCCAGCTTCTTCTCACACTCTAAACCTGTTTAAAATAAAAATTGGGCAAGATTAAGCTTATTCAGAGGGTAAACTCAGGTGTGGAGTTCAATCAGGTAGAGCCCCTTTAACGGAGGGCTCCGGTGCCTGCGTGGATACACAGAGCTGACTCTCTGCTTTCCTTCAGGAAGAGTTATGAGCACAAAGGATTTAAGGATGAGTCTTTGGAAAGCTCTTGACACTGGCCTAATTCAGTTCCCTTTGAAGTCGGGGGAGCTTTGCTGTTGATTCTGTTGGAAGCCAGGCGCAGCAGACGCCGGACGCTTCCCAGCACCGCCCTCAGCTCCTGGAGCCGAGAAAAAAGGGATTGAGCCTCTCTGTCAGGAGCTGGGTGCTCCCATCTGAGGGGCCACCTGGTAAAACCACTTCTGCCTTTCCATTTTTGAATCTCTCCTCTCCACTCTTTCCATCTCCCTTGTTCCCTTCTGTGCCACAAGCAGACATGAGCATGAACAGGTGAGTGACAAAACCTGGGCTCACCAGCCAGCCCTGACAGTGCCTCAACACCCATTTTGTGCCAAAGTTTTCTGTCTCATTTCCTAATCAGATCTTGGTCAAAGTCTTGTGGTCACTTCTCATTAATTCTCCTTGAGAATTCTTTGAAATAATCAAGTTTGGAGATGCAGGGCGGCCAAAAACTCTGTAACTCCTTTTCCATGAAACTTACATCTTATTTCACAGTCCTGTGACTGCTTTTAAAAATAGCTTCTCCTTACATCTCCAAAATCCCTTCTCCTGCTCCGTGATCTCTGAAGTGAGATAAACCAGACTAATATCAGAATTTTTTCCTTTTTTTTTAACTTTTTTATAACATTTACCAGATTAGCAAATGGGGATTTACTTTATGCTTCCCTTCTACTGTGCAGTTCCTGGAAGAGATAAGTAAAACTCTGTGTTGTACACAGCTCCCAGAGCCTTGAACTTGAATCTCAGCAACAAAACTCCTTCCATTTGATCTCTAAACCCATTTGTAATTGCCAGATCCACGTGCCTTTTCCATACAGACTAGATCCTGCCCTCTCTGATTCTACAGATAGTCCTTCTTTTACCTAAAGCTCAATATATCACTTTGGATTCGGAAAAAGCATTTGTTATTTGGTTTTTATTTGGGGTTTTTGAGGGGATTTTTTGAGTAAATAGTTAGAATGTGCTGGAAATCCTAGATTTTAATTTACTACTATTTTAAATTAAAATAGAGTCTTTTCAGTCATAGAATCATAGAATGTTTTAGCTTGAAAGGGACCTTAAAAATCATTTAATTTCAACAGGAATGGGCAGGGACAGCTCCCACTAGACCAAGTTATTCAGAACCATTATTTCCATTCCATTATTTCCTTGGGTTTAGAATAATTCAGTATCTAATTTTACAGAATATTTAGGCTTCATTTAAAAGTAGGAAAGCAAGAATAGTTTCCTTACTGCTTTATTCTCTGAGTGTGTTTACATTTTCATGGTAACACAGATTTATATTTCTTTCAGAATTTTAGGGTGATTTAAGCATCCATTAATATCCACTGCAACATATTTTTACTGGTTTTGATGTGTAGTTTCCTGAACACACTGGCACTTCCCCACCCTCATATTCTTAAGGCAAACCTTGCTCCACCAGCACCAATTTTTTTCCTTGTTCACTGAATTTTCCCCTTTGATTCTGATCACTGGTGATGGAAAAACAATTGAGTCGCCATTATCAGCTCTGATCAATAAATCTGAAGGAGGAAAAAAGAGGAAAAGCCAACACAGGGGAGTCCCAGTCAGCAAACATTTCCTGATAAAGAAAACACTCATATATCTGACACGTCAGCAGCTCCCAGGGTTTGCTCACGCCACGAGGATTTGTCGCTACAGGGAGCTCCCAGCTGCCAGAGCTGGCTTTCCATGGATCCAAGAGCTGCCTTTAGGCAGAGCTTTGGCTTTGAAGGACAGTGGGAAATGCTGTTTTCAAGGAATCTTCCTCAAAAGATGGGTGGCTTTAAGGGATGCTTTCAGAAAGCCACCCAGAGCTGATGGTGGGGATGGAAGAGCTCCTGTGCTGTCACGCTTTTCTGGCCCTGACACTGCTGTGTCTCCTGCTTTTCTGGCCCTGATGCTGCAGCTGGGTTGATATTTATTGTGGCCATTGGAATTTGATGTTAATTTAAAAATAAAACCTGAGGATGGAATGATCCTGGTAAGAGCAGGGAGTAACGTAGGAGAAGGGCTAAACTCACAGCCAGGGAGTCGTGCAGAAATGCTTTGGTGAGTTCTGTCCTGGTTGGATTTCTGACAGGCCCTTACCCTCATCAGCTGGAAAATCTTGAAACAAATGCAGCAGATTCAGTGGTGGAGCCTCTGCTGGGGAACATTATCCACACCAAGAGTCCTAAGGGGATACACAAACTTGCTCAAGTGCCTTGGTTTAGGATTTAAACTTTCCTGCACTGCAAGTATCTGGAAAGAAATAAAAACTTTGGTTATTTTTCAGTCTGTTACTTCCTTTAATTGTTCAGCAGGCCTCTGGCAACCACCTGATTTATCTCTCTTTGCCTTGCTACTGTAGCAGCTGTGATCATCAGTTGTTGGAGTGACACCTATGCAGATCAGTTCCTTTTTCCCTAGAAATATCCATTCTTTATGGCTTTGGTATCACACAAGTATCATTTCCTGTTAATGCCTTAAACTTATAGTAAATCTATAGGTTGGTGTCCGTGTGGAGTTCTTTGCAGCAGAGCTTAAACCCATCTCAGTGGCTCTTGGGACTGAAGGAAGTTTAATGCTGTTATTTTAGAGAGAGCCTGAGCATGTCATAGGCAACCTGACCAATAATGTTCTACCCTAAGTGGTGATTCAAGCTGTAAATCTATTTTACACAGCATGAAGAATCACTTGGACCAGGCAGAGGGATGAGGTGCCATGCTAGGAGAACGAGGTTTGCAAACAGCTCTTGGAAAAGGAGACGAGCACAGCTATGAATCTTAGCAGAGTTGCTCTGAAAGGTTTACCTACTCAACTTCCTTGATTTTAATTAGATTTTTCAACTTCCAGTAGATTAGAGTGTGACTGTACAAATTGGGTGAAAGTTGAGATCTTCCCTCAGAAGATCAAGGACCTCCAATGCACTGATAGCCCTAATGTTTGCTCATTATTTTTGCAGGCAAACGGAGATTTAGCTTTGTTTATCTGTGGGATTAGTTGTTGGGATTGGCTTGGAAGCCCTGAGGATTATATTATGATGTTTGTGCACAACACTTGAGGAGATCTCTGCATTCCTGGGAGCATTACAAGCAGTGCTCACTGACACGGGGAGAGCAGTTCAGTGGGAGCTGTGCAAGCGGCAGCCGGGGCACGCCGAGGTCTCTGCGCCTCCACGGCCACTGCAGGAGGGCACAGGGAGCTGCTCTCTCTTCCTGGAGTTCTGGGAGCATCCCCTGATCCAGCACTTCCATCCCTGCCAGCCCCATGGTGAGGATGCCTTGTGGCACAGTGCTCACAGGTGGTGGCACAGTGCTCACAGGTGGTGGCACAGTGGTCTCAGGAGGTGGCACAGTGCTCACAGGTGGTGGCACAGTGGTCCCAGGAGGTGTCTGCTCCCAGTCCCAGCAAACTGGGCTGATGGGAACCGGTGATTTACAGCTGAAATCTCCATGTCCCAGCCCCTGAGCACTCCAGGGCTCGGGCACACCTCATTATTTTGAGGCAGAGATGCATTTTAAAGCCTTTTCTCACTGTGTGTGTCCCCACAGGGTGTGAGGATGTGGCTGGGGAGGCACTGGGAGCTCCCTACCTGCCTGGCTGTGATGCTCAGGGAGTCCTGGCTGTGATGCTCAGGGACTCCTGGCTGTGATGCTCAGGGAGTCCTGGCTGTGATGCTCAGGGAGTCCTGGCTGTGGGATGCTCAGGGACTCCTGGCTGTGATGCTCAGGGACTCCTGGCTGTGTCAGGGATTTCAGGGGGTGCCTGCAGAGACTCTCCTGCCCTCAGTTCAGATGAGATTTTACCACTGGGAGCAAATCTGCTCCCCATAAATTCAAGTAATGATCACGTCCTGTCTGAATTTCTGCTTCTGATGATACAATTTCTGTTTCTGATCCTTCTGTTTCTGTTTCTGATGATGTGATTTCTCTTTTCATTTCATTTTCTCTGTAATTTCTCTGATGTACTCCAAGAATGGGCTCTTTGCTGGAGACCTCAGTATCTTCCTGAGCACCACTTGGTGAATCACTGAATGAAGTTCCCAAAATTGAGGAGCCATGGGAACTGGAGCTCTTTGGGCTGTGTTCCCTCAGATCAGGGCTGGAGTCAGAACCTGAAATAATGATGAGGATATTGAGAGCTGCACACTTGAACCACCTGTTGTAGAAGTTGATGCAGCAATAAAAAAATGTAAAGCAGAAATAAGGGTATCTGTGGGATAATAATACACAAAAGCCTGTCTTGCATTTTAACATTTTAATGTGGGAGATTTTCCAAAAATACCCCACAGTAATGAGAACCAATAGTGTACAAAGATTAACGTCACAAACCCATCACTGACCTCAATAACATTTCACAACATTTAGTTTTCATTACAGTGCAGTGTTACTGCAGGCTTTTTTACATGAACTTCTGAAGAAAAATATATGATAGAGCTTTCCAAAAATACACACATGTTGGGAAATAAGACTTTTAAATCAAGAGTTTTACACATCCACTGATCACATTTGACGAATCAGATGTATGGTATTAATTACTCTGAATCACAGCAAAGCAGATTTAAACACTTAGAAAACAAAGATTTCTGCTTTGCTGGTAGGGACACGCGTCGTGCCTTCTTCAAAAGGTGCATTCTGACTTTTAGTGCTGTTTGCTCCCTTTGGATGATGAAAGAACATTCAATTTTTAAATTGTATTTGTAAAAAGTATTGCTTGGCATGGAGAGTAGGAAAGAACATTTAGAACAGGTTGATCTGTAACACCACGAGCAGTCTGTTTTCTATCAATGATTCCTAGCCAGCTTATTAAACAGATTTATACAATGAAAGAATCTAATAACAAAAACATTCACCTCCTTTATTACTTGGCATTATTTATGGCTCTTACTTTTTTTTAGCTACCTTTTTATATATCGGAATCTGCCAACATTGTATTTATAAAGTTTATGTACTAGCAGCATTTGTTGGGCAGGGATTTGGGTTATTTTATGTTTCTTTCCTCCTACACTTCTTATTACTAAATCTATATACAAATGCTTGTAAAGATTAAAAAAAGACACCAAAGAAAATACTCCAGAGGAGATGGAATGCTTGAAAAATTAACTAATTCTGGAGAAATGGAGTTTTCAGTGTGCATACATTTCAGATGTTCTCTCAATAATAATAAAAAATAATGGTTCTTAAGGCTGAGGCTGTTCCAAGGCTTAACTGTGTTCCCCAGAATCCTCAGTGTTGAATCATAGATGGGGAAGTGTTTACATACTGCAAAATCAAAAGTTCACCCTATGACTGTCCATTCAAAGCTCTAAATATCCATAATTGCTGTCCAAAGAACAACTTTGTCTTCCAGAGCTCCTTCCTTCCTTCCCTCCTTCCTCCCTGCTGTCTGTCCCTCTGTCCCAGGGCGATGGAGCCACAATGGCACGTTTGTCACCGTGGGTGGGCGTTGGTGGCAGCCCTGAGCGTTCCCCTGCCCGGCCTCTGGTGCCAGCTCTTGGCTCTGGCACCCAGGCTGGGCTGGGCCTGGCACAGACATAAATAAAATGGAATAAAATGGAATAAAATTTCCAGAGCCTCTCCGTGGGTCTGCTCAGAACAACCCAGCATGGACATGTCTGTTTTTCTAGAAAGCTCCTCCATGTGCACAGGAGAATCCTTTTGCTGGTCTCAGAAACACCTTGAGATGCCCCTTCTGTAATTGGGGAGAGAAACAAGGGGTCGTGAGGGAAATGGGGACGGTGGAATTCTTGGGGCAGCAAAGTCAGGACGAAGTGTGGGGTTTGTCCAGGCTGCAGCAGAGGGGAACAGGGAATCCCTTGGAGATCCCTGCAGCAGGCACAGGGAGCTGCTGCTTTCCCCAGGCAGGCAACAGCATGAACTGTTCAAATAAATAAAAAGTGAGAAGTAGAAACAGGGGAGGTTTTGCACTGAGCTCCCTTGGATGACAATCCAGCTCTTGGGAACTCCGGTGGCCGCTGTGTCCCCACGAGGGGTCAGCGAGTCCTTTGTGCCCCCTCCCACCTGAAGCTGTGCTGGTTTATAAATGATCTGTCTGATGCTGGCTCTCGGTTTGCCTTTTGTCTCACCCTCCCAGGAACGTTCCCCCTGAATGCCCAGGCTCCAGCCATTTCAGAAGAAAACCTTTATTTTTTTTCCACTGAGGTTAACCAAGCCTCCTTCTGTTTTGCTGTGCTCAGCAGTTAAGGCCAAAGTTTACAAGAAAGGTAATTACAGTCTTACTTTTAATTGTAATTAACTAGGAGTAAAGAATCAAAATAATCCAGCTACTCTTTTGCTGAACCAGAGCATTATATATAATGTGACAAGGAGAATGCCTTGCCCTTCAGCCATTAATTTTAGCAGCTCTGTTATTCCTAAATTACATAAACCTCTGGTGTCAGAGGGGAGAGAAAATGAATCAGCTCTGAGATTTCATTGGAATACCTTGCCCATGGTTGTGTCAGAATGTGCAAGGCTTTTGAAGCACTTCAGGTTATGATAAATTAGAAACACATAATGAAGAAAATCGGGAACTCCAAATAAAGAGGTCACAAGTGAAAAATGTTAGCGGTGAATTACAGGCATTTCTGGTCTCATGAAGACCAAAACTTGGGCTTTTGAAGGGAGTTTTTTATTTCCAAAGGTGTTGGAGCAGTGTGAGTGTGGCAGGGAGTTCAGGGGTTTGGGGGCTGCAGTGCCCCAAGGGGATGTCACTGTCAGGGGTGGGAGAGACACTTGTAGGAATAAGTGGATTCACAGTCAACATAGGATGAAAATGGGAAACATTTCAGCATTCTGATTCTTAATTGCATTCATTGATTATGAGCCATAACACGATTCTGACCATTTGACAGATGCTGCTCTTTCCAAACTCTTGGTTTAGCAGGGATTGATCTCCTGGATTCTTACCTGGTCACTTTTCCTGGGCAGGTGGGAGCCAGGCAGGCCCAAGGGATCTGAGGGAGCACAAGGCTCAATGGCACCACTGCTGACAAAGAGAGGAGCTGAACCAAGCCTTGAAAAGGCAGTGAAATGTCAGATATCCACATTTAAAGCCTGGACCAGGGTGGATTTTCCTCATGCTGCAGCACTTCCACAGCCAAAAGCCTGAGTGCCACGGACCTTGGCAGCATTATTGGGGGATCTTCCTTTAAAGATGAGCTATTCTGGAACAATTTCTCCACTGTATGTGACACAGACAGGCTTTTCTTTGACACCAGACGTGCATGTCTTCTTGCTCCAGCTATTTCTTTCTTGGACAAACATATGTATTGTAGCCAATGCAAGGAAAATCCTGCTCACTATTTATGTTTGAGTTCCCTGTGTCCCATTAACAATATCCCAGTGTACTCCTGGCACCAGAGCATCTTGAGCCAGATCCAGCACTGTTTTCCTGGATTCCCCTTTGGTCACTTAAGTGCCACAAACTAATCAGTCTTATTTAGTGACCTTCCATCCCAGAGGCTCTATTTTCTGGGCACTGGAATAGTTTCCTGTCCTTTTTTTTTCCAATTTTTTACACAGTAGGGAGCTCCTCTTATTGTGACTCTGAACTAAGAATAATTATCAGGACTAGGAACAGATTTTATCTGCTGTCCTGTGACTCTTTTACACTTCCAGGAGCTCTCATTTTGGTGGTGCTCTGACCACCAGGCAGAGATATATTATATGTGCACCATTTGAATATACTGAGAACTTTATGTGGCTCTCAAAGGGCAAAAGCTTTTCATAGGGAAAAATAATTATGGTGTTGGTGCCTTTCCTTCAAGGCTGCTCTAATTTGTAGTAATATATAGATAGAGATTAGATCTTATTTTTCACTTATTTTACTGTTTTTCTCTTTATTTTTCTTTTCCTTTTCTTTTTTCTTATTTTCCTTTTTCTCCTTTTTCCTTCTTTTCTTTTTCCCCTGATTTTTGTTTTCCCCTTCCTTTTTTCTCCTTTTCCATTTTTTCCTTTTTTTCCTTTTTTTTCCTTTTTTCTTCCTTTTTTTCTTTTCTTTCTTTTCCTATTTTCCCCTTAATTTCCTTTTCCTTCCCCTTCTTTTTTCCCTTTAATTTGTTGGCATAAAAGGTGGCCAGGCACACTCTCCTTCCAAATAAATAAATACAGCATTTGCATTAATTAAAAAAAAACAAAACCAGTGCTACAGACTTCCATTGCATACATTTACTGTAGAATACATGAATGCAGATTTATTTTGGGCTGGAATCTGACTGTTTTTCTTAGCTGAGCTTTGGGAGAGCTGCATTTCAAAGCCACCCTCAGCTCCATAAGTTTTCTGTCCCGTGGATGTCAACCATTGATTTATCCGAGGAGTCGCGTTGTTTACAGCGGAGACATTAAATCATAAAACAACTTCCATTGTATCCTGTGCTCAGATAGGCAAAAGCACTTCCTAACTGTGAAACCAGCTGCTCTAATCTTTAATGACTTCAGTTCAGTGGCCAAATCTACTTCTTTGTGCTCTCCTAATGCACCATTAGATTAGTTACTGTCGCTGGAATTGCTGTCCTTCGGCCCCGGTTAGGGAGGATCATGGTATTTTTCATAAATCATATTTTTTCTTTTCCCCCCCTTCTTCTTTTACTGTTTAAAGGATAATGGTGCTGTA